TTTTGCCTAGTGACCGTTGGTTCCTTTTCTAGTCATCCCACAAATACGTTTATATAACGTAGTCTAGAATTTTCTTCAGTTCGGTCACTCAGTCGTGTCCAACTCTTTGCAACTCCATGGACTGTAGCACGCCAGGCCTCCCTGTCCATCACCAACTCTCAGAGTTTACTCAAACTCATGTCCATTGAGTTGGTGATGCCATCCAACCATCTTATCCTCTGTCATCCACGTCTCCTCCCAATTTCAGTTTTTCCCAGCATCAGGGTCTTTGCCAGTTAGTCAGTTCTTCCCATCATGTGGCCTAAGTATTGGAGTTTCAGCTTCAACATCAGTCCTTCCAATGAGTATTCAGGACTGATTTCCTTTAGGATGGACTGGTTGGATCTCCTTGCAGTCCAAGGGACTCTCAAGAGTCTTCTCCAACACCACAGTTCAAAAGCATCAATTCTTTGGCACTCAGCTTTCTTTATAGTCCAACTCTAACATCCATACATGGCTACTGGAAAAACCATAGCTTTGACTAGATGGACCTTTGTTGGTGAAGTAATGTCTGTGCTTTTGAATATGCTGTCTAGGTTGGTCATAACTTTCCTTCAGAGGAGTAAGCATCTTTTAATTTCATGGCTGCAGTCACCATCTGCAGTGATTTTTGGAGCCCAGAATATAAAGTCTGCCACTGTTTCCATTGTTTCCCCACCTATTTGCCATGAAGTGATGGGACGCCATGATCTTAGTTTTCTGAATGTTGAGTTTTAAGCCAAATTTTTCACTCTTCCCTTTAACTATCATCAAGAGGCTCTTTAGTTCTTTGCTTTCTGCTATAGGGTGGTGTCATATGCATAACTGAGGTTATTGATATTTCTTGCAGCAATCTTGATTCCAGCTTATGCTTCATCCAGCCCAGCATTTCTCATGATGTACTTTGCATATACATTAAATAAGCAGGGTGACAATATACAGCCTTGATGTGCTCCTTTCCCGATTTGGAGCCAGTCTGTTGTTCCATGTCCAGTTCTAAACTGTTGCTTCTTGACCTGCATACAGATTTCTCAGGAGGCAGGTAAGGTGGTCTGGTATTCCTGTCTCTTGAAGAATTTTCCACAGTTAGTTGTGATCTACACAGTCAAAGGCTTTGGCATAGTCAATAGTCTTTAATCATATGCCTTCTTCTTTATGGTGAGGTGTCAAAGTATTTTTCCTGAAATTTTAAATAAAGCAGTTTACATTGTTCATTTCATTTATTTTATAATTTATCTAAGGGTTCTCTGATTCTCATTATGACCTGAAATAACTCTTGCTATTTTGCAGTAGCTTTGGCCCAGGCTGTCATTCTTCTTCATTTCCTTTAAGTCCTTTCTCAGTTTAGACTTATTTCTCCCAGTAAGTAGACCTGATGTATCTTTCTGGTATTGCTCCCCTTCAGTCTTTTCCCTACACCTACTGACAGTGATTTTCCAAAGACACAGATATAATTGTGCCACACTCTTCTTACAAGTCCTCCACGACTGTTCCCTATCCCCTTTCAGGATAGAATCTATACTCCCTGTCCTGAAGGCTTCATAGTACTATCCCTGCCTATCTTTCCAGTCTCATCTCACTGGACCATTCTCCCTTTCTGATTCTGTACTGCAACTACACTGCTCTTTAAATCCTCTAAGTTGCGCAGTCTTAGATAACATCAGTGACAGTTATCAATGAAAAAACCTTTGGTATATTAATTTATTGTAAATATTTACAGCTAAGTTAACAAACTTCTGGGCTTCCCTGGTGGGTCAGTGGTAAAGAACCCACCTGCCAATTCAGAAGATGTAAGTTTGATCCCTGGGTCAGGAAGATCCTCTGGAGAAGGAAATGGCAACACACTCAGTATTCTTGCCTGAAAAATCCCACGGACAGAGGAGCCTGGTGGGCTACAGTCCATGGGGTTACAAAGAGCTGGACGCAACTTAGTGACTAAACAACAACATAACAAAGTTCCAAGGGGCCATTCATTGACCTCATTTTATAGATTGGTTACTTTTATCAACTCTCATGCATAAATGAAATATATGTATATCAAATTTTACATTCATTCCCATTATTATTTAAGATGTTTTGATAGGACAAAACATACAAATAAACAAACTTAGCCCCAGAAGTTAATACAGTTCTTACTTAAGTATCATAATATTTATAGCAAGGAATGATAATACTTTTTCAAATGTATGGGTTATTTTATTTTTCTAATCAGTTATGTGAACTTGAGCATAATGTTTTAATTTACCAAAGTTATGCAAAGTATGTAATTTATTAAGACTTTTATAGAAAAGTATTGCGTATCACTCTTTTATTAATCTTTTTCTCCAATTTTGTCTCTCCTCCTTGAGAATCTATATTATAAATCTGTTAGAGATTAGAACTGATAGTTGTTAAATGCTTTTGTTGATTCAATCAGTTATTTGTGGGTTTTTTAATTATTATTTGAAGATTCCACAAGTGAATCAAGCAATGTTCTCTGGAATCTCTTATTATTAAGAAGGGGTAGAGGAAAGAGGAGGAAAATAAAATGTTGAGCCTTTCCCAGATTTCTGGGATATCAGAGGCCCTAAAGTACAGTTAGTTTTTCCACTTACGTTGATTTCCTCTGGTTAGGTGAGTTGCTCCCAAAGCTGTTAAATTTCATTCAGCATATATCTATAAAAGTAAAGAGAATATCAGCCGCAAGGGTTGTGAAAACAGGCTGATATATGGAACACACTTACTGTCTCACGCTCTGCTCTTAATAAGTGATAGCTACTGTAGTGAGCAAGGTCATTCAGGCTAGTTTGAATTCCCACTTTCCAGCTCTGTGAACTTCGGTGTGGTACTTCAGTTTCCTCATTTGTAAAATGGGGTGTAGATATATAACTCATAGAAATATTGTATTAAAGCACCTATTATAGTTAGTAGTATGCATATGCTGCTGCTGCTAAGTCACATCAGTCATGTCCGACCTTGTGCAACTCCACAGACGGCAGCCCACCAGGCTTCTCTGTCCCTGGGATTCTCCAGGCAAGAATACTGGAGTGGGTTGCCATTTCCTTCTACCAAGCACTGAATACATGACTTGTTTTAAGTGTTATTGTCACAAGAGTGATCATTTATGGAACATCCAGCGTGTCATAGGCTCTGTACAAGACCCTTGTTGGTACTGTCTGTGATTCTGAAACTTCAGGCTCATACCCTACATCTGTTAGAAGAAGACTTTATTTCAGTTGTTTAACTTTTGTAGGCTGGATCATGTAGGCTAATTCCTAACAGAAACACTGAGCCTAAATCTAGCCAAAAAGCAAACAAGATAACAAACAACAACCAAAGAAAACCCATATTCTGTGAGCAGCCAAAGATGTTGCATACACAGAATTGCATACATGTACTTTCCTAATGGACTCATTCTTCAAGTTCTCATTTAGTGGCCATCACATTTCTGTCGCTTGTTAGCTGAATGACTTTAGGTGAGTCTCAATACTATTCTCCTCATCTGTGAAATAAAGGGGTTATATAGCTAATTTCTAAAAAGTCTCAAGACTAGAAACTTTTAAATTCTGTGTATCTGATTTTTTTCTGGGTTGTTTTCTATACTCATCTCTCTAAAAGAAAAATAAATTTACCCTGAAGTGTAAGATCTGTGCACAGGATTCACTGGATGTCAAGCTCTGTGATGAATAAGAAATTTCAAGTCCAACATGAAGGACCAGTATATAAACAATTATAATTTCAGTGGAATAAGTTAAGTAAATCCCAAGCATAAATAAGAGTGATTGATTTTTGTGGAAATGGGGGCCACCAGAAAATGCTTTGCAGAGAAGTTATAACAGAATGGGTTAGACTGCATTTACAAGTTGTCCCAAATTTCAGTGTTTGAAAATTCTAAAGGTGCATTTATTGTTAATTGTATAAGCTGCTGTTGGTCATCAGTGCCTCTGCTCCACATAGCGATCTGGGGACGTGAGCCAATGGATGTTCTCACATCTCAGCTTGTAGCCTCTGTGATTGACACAGTGAGAGGACAAAAAGGAGCTGGTGATTTTACCACCAGCCTTAAATGCATTAGTACTTTCTGGTCCACAGATGGCCAATGTCACCTCAATAGTTTCATTTAGATAGTTTCATTTAGCTGTAAGAGAGTGGGTGATCTGGGAGAGTAAGTGTTTGGTGAGTGTATATTTTTGCTACATGGCACCTGAGCTAATTCTGAAAAGGTAAGTGAAAATCAGTCTGGTAAATATAGAAGAAAATGAAAAAGAAACTCTCTCCTCTTAAGGCAAAGAAATTGCATACCTTTAGTGTAAAAAAGTGAATGTTAGGGAAGAATTTAACTACTATGTTTGATTAAGCATCTGGAAACTGGAATATAGTGTAAGTTGTAAAGAGCTGAGAACTGAGAGTAAGCCCTCAGCTAGCTTTATAACTCAGTATTGAACTGGTAATGTGATTTTAATTATAATTAAAGTGCACATTGATTATATATTATGAATTTTATAGGTATTATTTTGTGGAAAGCACGTTAATGGATAGATTCTATGCTATAGGAAGATTGCTCTGTTATTTGCACTTAAGTTGCTTAGCCCTATTTTTTTTTAAATCCCCTTATACTGAAAGTCCAATCACATGTTTAGAGAGAAATGAACTCTAAAGGGTTTATCTTTTTACCTGAGCTTTTAAAGTTACATCAGAAGACAAGAAAACTCATTGCTTTACACACATTATCTCAGGTAAACCTCACAATAACCCTGTGAGAAAGGTACTGTTATTATCCCCACTTCTGTCAACTTATAAGCCATTAGATGGTATGACTCTTTTCATTTTATACCTAAAATAATTTGGTCCTAGAAAAGGTAAGTCAATATTATATACATGTTTTATCTATTATGCATCTGTTATCAATCTAAAATCTCTATTATAAATGTTTATGATTTTTACAGTAAAATTATATATACCTAGTAGGAATTATGCTGCAGTGTTAACTTTTCTATTTTTAGGGTTTGGACAGAGGATTCAAAGGCCAGATTTCTACTTTCAGCAGTGTTATTTCAACTGTTAACCAAAAGAAAGAAGCCACTGAAAACAGAAGTTCACCCACACATCCTGTTTTCCCTAACATCAAGAATGGTAAAAGATTTAAAAATTTAAAAAGAAATGTAATTACAATTATTAAAAGTATACACAGTCTATATATCTTGGCTGAAAGTATATTAATGAAATATTAAATAAGTAGATTTTAACTTATGGTTGCTGGGGGGAAGAATGGAGGAGAGAGATAAGTACTTTGGAATGAACATGTACACACTGCTACTATTTAAAATAGGTAACCAATATGGACCTACTTATAGCACAGAGAACTCTGCTCAATGTTATGTGGCAGGCTGGATGGGAGGGGATTTGGGGGAGAGAATAGATACATGTGTATGTATGGCTGAGTCCCTTTCTTGTCCACCTGAAACTATCACAATATTGTTAACTGACTATGCTCCAACATAAAATTTAAGAAAATTTTTTAAGTAGATTCTAATTATTCAGCACTGTTCTGCTAGGTCTCATTAGTCAAAAGCTCTATAAATATTTACAGAAAGGAGCAAAATCATTATATTTAGGTAATTGTTACCTAGAGTAAGAATGACATATAAAATTCATGAATAAGAAAGTTTGGTTAGGGAGCCTGACACAATAAAAATATGTAAAAACTAAATAGATTTCCTTTATTTGAGCAGTAATCAATTAGAAGACTTGATGAAAAATATATGAAAATATTTAGAAATAAACCAAAGAGAAAGTGGGCAAAACCTATACAAAATAAGCCTATAAAATTTGATCAAAAGACTAAAAGATGATTTTAATGGAAAATCTTGAATATTGTAGAGATATCAGCTACACCGATTTGTTCTCTAACATTTGATGAATTTTTCAACAGTTTTTTGGGAGAAAACTTAAGAAAATGATGCATGCTCTATTTGATCTATATGAATAAAGAAGCGGGTATAAGAAAAAGTAACAAAGGATCCCATTCCTTTGTCGTAACATATATTATAAAGCTGCCCTCGTGATACTACCAAGATAGTCAAATGAATGGAAATGGATCAGTGAAACATACTGTATGTACAGGATATTAAACTACTTTAAAAAAGCAGAATTATGGAAACTTTCCAACTTTTGGAAAATAGTAACTTTAAATTTTTAAAGACGACAAAAGTACTGGAAGAAAGCACAGGCAGTTGTTTTTATAATAAATTTTTGGCACAATGACAATGCCAACAGCCATAAAACAAACAAAAACATCAATGTTTGCAGGATAAGAAAATTTCAAACTTCTGTAGAAATTTTATAAGATCATAAACAAAGTAAGATGTCATAGTCAGTGAAAAATAAATTCTTGTATCATAGAGATCATGAATAGATCAGTAAAATGAACATTCCAAGAGGAAAAAAAAAAGGCAAAGGGTATGAACAGACCAGTCCAAAAAAGAAATATGAAAAATTAATACACATGTGAAAGGAGGCTCAGTCTCACTAGTATTAAAGAAATACAGATTAAAACAAGGAGTTAACATTTCCCTACCTAGTGGCAGAGAAAGAAGGCATGTGTATCTGTAGTCTTGTGTGTGGCATATGAAAATTGGCACTTTTATTGAGTAGAGGGCTTGGAAATCGATACAGCTTTTCTAGAGAGTGAAGTATTTGACATATATTCAAATTTTAAAATATTCATATACTTACTGACCCAGTATTCCATTTCTAGGAATTTATTCTAAGGAAATAATACATGTTGAAAGACATACGGAAAAAATGTTTACAATAGTGGTATTTGAAAGCTATCTGAATAAACTGGTTGACTAAATTGTGGTAATCCATATTATAAATACATGCATCTATTAAAAGAAATATGACATGTATATACATTTTCTAGGAGAAATACAATACATTGTCAAATGAAAAATGCAAGTTACACATTAGTAGGTAGAATATGACTCCAGTTTTTTAAAGTGTGGGTAAACCTTTTAGGCTTCTTTGAGCAGATACAGAGGTGTGGGAAGGAAGACTACCAACCTGTCTGTGGTTTCCTCAGAAAAGGTAGGACTGGGTGGATATTACTAATATGTTCTGTTTCTTTATATAACCCTATATTGTTTTATCACAGGAATCATACATTACTTGCACAATTTTAAGTGCCCCTTACCCTGTAATGAAACAAATCGGCAAAGGTTTAAATGTCCCTCACACCTGAACAAAACAAAACAAACCTCAAAATGTTAAAGGACCTTGTTCCTGGTAAATTGCCTGTGCCCATAAGCTGCAGTCCATGGGGTCACAAAGAGTCAGACACAACTGAGCAGCTGAACTAAACTGAACTGATAAGCTGCACATGGCATAAATCATTCTTGCACATATTTTCTGTTGATCCTTCAAGGGATCGGTAGACCTATTCTGCACTCTTACAAGTTTAGTATTTATATTATCTCATTTATCAACCTTTGTCCCTGATAACTGCTTCCTTCTTTTATTTATGTATACACACACAAACATTTCATCACCTCAGTCTTACTCTAAGGAGGCACCAGTGCCCATATGTCACAGTCCCACAACAAAACAAACTTATAATTGTGATTCCATTATAGATAAAATTATAGAAATAAAGAAAATGAGCCTATTCAATGGGGGAGAGAAATTGAGAAAGATGATTTCTATTTTAGACCTTAGCTAGATAGTAACTATTACTTATTTGAGTAATATTTATGATTTAGGAAAAACTTTCGTGTGATTTTTTTTTTTAGCATCATAGCAATCATGTAAAATATATACTAGAATTGCTACAATGTAGTTTTCTGTTGCTGCTCAACAAATTATCACAAACCTAATGACTCAGAAGGGTACTTCCTTGGTGACTCAATGGTAAAGAGTCTGCCTGCCAGTGCAGAAGACACAGATTCAATCCTTGGGTCAGAAAGATGCCCTGGGGAAGAAAGTGGCAACCCAATCCAGGATTCTTGCCTGGGAAATCCCATTGGACAGAGGAGCCTGGTGGACTACAGTGCAGTCCATGGGGTCGCAAAAGAGTTGGACGTGACTTAGCGACTAAACAGTAACAGTGACTTAAAAACACTACCACGTATTAGCTCACAGCTCTTTTAAGTCAGACCTTGGTGAGTGTGGCTGAGTTTTCTACTCACGGTCTCTCAACGTGGAGGCTGAGCTGGACTCTGGGCAAGAATCCTCAGGTTGCTGGCAGAACTTACTATTTGCAGTTGGAAGACTGCGGTCTCATCTCCTCGCTGACTGTCACCCAGAGCTGCCCTCAGCTCCCAGAGGCTCCTCATGGGCTCACCGGCTGTCTCCCAGCCTTCTTTTTCAGGGCTAGCAGCCGGATCCCTTGTGTCAAATCCCCTTCATGCTTTCAGTGTCTCTGACTTTGTCTTCTGCAACCAGTGGGAGAAAACCTTCTGCTTGTAAAGGTCTCATAAGGTTTTGCCTTCCTGGATGAATCTCCCTGGATTAAGAAAAGACAGAGGAACCAGAGATCAAATTGCCAGCATCTGTTGGATCATAGAAAAAAGCAAGGGAATTCAAAAAAATCATCTACTCCTGCTTCACTGACTACACTAAAGCCTTTGACTGTGTGGATCACAGCAAACTGGAAAAGTCTCAAAGAGATAGGAATACCAAGCCACCTTACCTGTTCCCTGAGAAACCTGATTGCAGGACAAGAAGCAACAGTTAGAATCAAACAGGAAACAATGGACTGGTTCTAAATTGGGAAAGGAGTTTGTCAAGGCTGTATATTGTCACCCTGATAATTTAACTTATATGCAGAGTGCATCATGTGAAATGCCAGGCTGGATTAATCACAAGCTGGACTCAAGATTGTTAAGGGACATATCAACATCACATATGCAGATGATACCATTTTAATGGCAGAGGGTGAAGAAAAACTAAAGAGCCTCTTGATGAAAGTGAAAGAGGAGAGTGAAAAACCTGGCCTAACACTCAACATTCAGAACACTAAGATCATGGCATCTGGTCCCATCACCTCATGGCAAATAGAAGGGGAAAAAGTGGAAACAGTGACAGATTTTTTCTTGGGCTCCAAAAATCACTGCAGTTGGTGGTTTAGCCGTGAAATTAAACGACCCTTGCTCTTTGGAAGAAATGCTATGACAAACCTAGACAGTGTATTAGAAAGCAGAGACATTACTTTGCCAACAAAGGTCCGTATTGTCAAAGCTATGGTTTTTCCAGTAGTCATCTATGGATGTGAGAGTTGGACCCTAAAGAAGGCTGAGCACTGAAGAATTGATGCTTTTGAACTGTGGTGCTGGAAAAGGTCTTGAGCATGTCTTGGACAGCAGGGAGATCAAACCAGTCCATCCTAAAGGAAATCAACTGAATATTCATTGAAAGACTACTGCTGAACCTGAAGCTCCAATTCTTTGGCCACCTGAGGGGCAACAGAGGATCAGCTGGTTGGATGGCATCACCGACTCAATGGACATAAGTTTGAGCAAACTCCAGGAGATAGTGAAGGACAGGAAAGCCTGGTGTGCTATACTTCTTGGGATCCCAGAGTCAAACATGACTTAGTGACTAAACAACAACACAATTAGTAATCTTAATTAGATCTGCACAATCCCTTTGGTCATGTAATGTGATCCACCAGGTGGCTGAGAATCCTGAGGCCCTCTTCAATCTCTGCTTATAACACATATTTAATAAGTAAAAAAACTGGAGCTCAGACAGGGTAAGTGACTTGGCCATGGTCATGCTGCTAAGTGACAGAACTGCAATTCAATCCCACATTTTCTGACAACAAAACTCTTGTTCTGACAGATAGAGGAAATTCCTGATTGACTTGTTTCTCTTGTCTGATTAATCATATGACATTAATCACACAACTCTAATTACATCATCTCTAATACTCCCTAAAGCTTCCAAAATGAAATACAAATTTTTTATCTTGACACGCAAGGATGTTCATAATATGACAGCTTTTCAACTGATCTCCCACCTTTCTCCTCCATACAACTTACATTTCAACTATTTTCCTGCATGCCTCATACCTGCTCACTGCAGAGTTTTTGCAGTTTGTTCCAAGTGCATCCCTTGGAATGTACTCTTCCCTC